CGAGGGCGGCCGCAGCGCCCCGGCCGCTCTCGCACGGCGGGGAGGGGAAGCCGGGCCTGGGCCGCACACCGCGCTCCTCGGAGGCGGCAAGGGGCTTCCCCACCCGGCCCAGCGGCCTGGGTGTCTCTCCCCGCCGGGCCGCCTTCCCTCGTCCTCACTGTGTCACCCCTCTTCGCCTTGGGTCACCGCGGCTCCTGCCCCTTTCCACAGGTGTTTTCGGTCACCCACTCGCATCTGGGCTGCAGCCGTGTTCCTGCTGCCATTACTGACCCCCCACACGGTGAAGTGTTCTGCACTGGGGTCACCACAGCAAACCTTCACTATAGGGCTTGTTCGCTTTCACGCTTATTTTCTCTCACCTGACACAACAATCCCTTTTTTCTCTGCTGCTTAACATGCTTTCTACAGTCCCTCTCTGTCAGCCCCGCTCCGCTTACATGATACTGCAGCCTTTACTTGCACCTTCCTGCTTTGTTTTTTTCCCTCAGCTCCAAACTGGTCTCTTCCTTCACTGAGATACAGGATTCCCAGATGAGTCATTCCCCAAAAAAAACATGTATTTCCTGCCCCTCAATAACACCGATCAGTTGGTCTTTCCGTTTAAAAAGTTTGAGCATAAAATTCTGATTTCTTGTGGTGTTTCTACGTATCTTCTCTTTAACTTCAGCCTCCCAGGTAACCTGAAATCTTTTACAGGTTACACTGATTCACAAAGCGAGAAAAAAAAAAGTAAAGCACCAATGAAATAACTCTTGAACTGCAGTTGACCAGGCACTTAAGGATACTGTGTCATGTCCCTATAAGTTTGGGCAGGTTGTTCTCTATTAAAATCATTGACTTCCATGACAGCACATGGCACTACTGCAGTGGTGGAGGGTTTGGGGATGAGAGGGCTAGGAGAGGTTATGGCAAGTGTAATGAAGCCACCAAATGCCACTAAAATGAAGCCGTCCCCTGGTTTTAGGCAGTGACATCCATATCTTCCAAGTTATGTGGCCTTATGCCTCTGATCCACTTTCAAATCCAGATTGCCAGACCATCATGACAAAGGGCCAAACATGTTACACTTGGGGAAAGACTCCTGCAAACAAGAGTCATGGATGTGTTTCTGGCAACTTAAACCAGTTCTCTGGGAAAGTACTGTTCACAGCAAAGAAAAAAAAAAAAAACCACAACAAAACGTAAACCTTTGCAATCTTATTACAGAAAGAATGGGACAAATTCCTAGACAGGATAAATACTCAGTGATGCTTTCTCCATTATAGATACCATGTGTTAGCCCATGTAAAATAAGTAAATGTTTAACATACATAGTTACGTTAACTACTTTCCTTAAGTATAAAGATGCTTATAGTGGTCATCTTCAGAGG